TAAATATTATTGACTCAGAACATTATTTGTTAATATTTCTTCTATGACGACAAAAACTTTGAATAAGCTTCATTTATTGATAAAAAATTTGGATCTTGGTGAAAAATGTTGAAATAATCAACCTAATGTTTTAATATTTTAGAGTGAAAACAAAAAAAGAAAATTGACAATATAAGATCTTAGTTTTTGTTTTCTTTTCACTTAACAATAATAAAACCTAGCAATAGTTCTTTTGCATTGATTTCTTTTTTGAGAAAGGTGTGTATGTGATGAATAGGTGAAGAATACTGGTCCATACCATATCCTAAGATTTTGTTTCGATCTTTTCCGTCAACCTCAAAATTTCAGCCTATTTAGCCGACATCTAGTGAAGATATTTAAACTTCTAATCACCGAGTTATCTTTGGGTCATTTGGACAATATTTCTTTTCCGAATAAAAACTAATGTTTTTTTTTTCTATAGTTACGCTATGGTGAGCCAGTTATTAAACGAGCTGTACCTCTTGCACTTGCTTTATTATCTGTATCAAATCCAAAATTAAATATAATTGATACATTAAGTAAATTTTCTCATGATGCAGATCATGAAGTATCATATAATTCTATTTTCGCAATGGGTATTGTTGGTGCTGGTATGTTAAATAAGAAGAAAATCCGAGAAAAATATTAAAAAAAAATTTTTTTTTTTTTTGTTTTTGTTCAAAGGTACAAATAATGCTCGTTTAGCTGCAATGCTTCGACAATTAGCTGTTTATCATGGAAAAGATATGAATAATTTATTTATGGTTCGTCTTGCTCAAGGTCTTACACATCTTGGTAAAGGTACAATGACACTTAATCCATATCATAGTGACCGAATGCTTCTTTGTCGTGTGTCATTGGCTGGTTTACTTACGGTACTTGTTTCATTATTTGATGTTAAACAAAGTAAATAGTTTAGATTTATTTATTGATTTATATATTTATTTATATTATTTTCTTTTTATTAAGCTATTATTGGTAAATATCATTATTTACTTTATTTTCTTGCATTGGCTATTCAACCACGTATGCTTGTTACATTTGATGAATCACTTCGACCATTACCAGTACCTGTTCGTGTTGGACAAGTAAGTTTTTTCTTATATAAAATAAAGTGCGAAACTTATAGTTATTTATTTATTTTCTTTAATTGTAGGCAGTTGATGTTGTTGGTCAAGCAGGTAAACCGAAAACTATAACTGGTTTTCAAACACATACAACACCTGTATTATTGGCATATGGCGAACGTGCTGAATTAGCAACAGAAGAATATTTAACATTAACACCTGTATTAGAAGGTTTTGCTATTTTACAAAAAAATCCGAATTATGTACCATGATCTTTGTCTTGTTTCTTTCTTCTTTTTCTTCTCAAAATTTTCGTCTTATTACATAATCGAGAGACCTTTGTTTAATAAAGAGAAAAAATGGTCTTTCCCTTGTTGTCGCCTATTCTCTATTTTACTGTTTTTCTTTTGGTTTTTTTATAGTTGAAAATATATGATCAAATCATGCGATCGACCACAATCATATTGTATATCAATTTCGTTGTATAACTCTAAATATTAGCATGTTCATTTCAAGACAATTAGTAAACTACAAAAATAAGAGTTGTTAATGGAATTCCTGAGGCATTAAAATGTCAAACACGATGTAGCTATTGCTGCTATTCACAGGAAATTACATTAGTGTATCTATTTTTTAAGGAACACATCTCTTCATGCTGTTTTTACTTAATTTTTCTAAAATGCAATAAGGAAGTAATGCAAATATTACAACAAGACGCTATTGATATACAGTGTTGTGACGGTCTCTGGCTAGTGCCTATCGTAGTCTTTGGAGAATGGGAATAAGGTTTCAATTTCTACCATATATTATACATCAACGCTTTTATATCATGTTACACAAGTTGCAAAAATGAGTTCTTTGTTTGGATGATAATAATTAAAAAGACATGAAAATTAAATTAGATTCATGTTAATCTGCTGGGAATCTCTTGACAAGTTTCATATACAATTTGTTATATTTGATGATTGTTAAAAGTTAGATATTGTTCATTATAGATATATTAATATGAGAAAAGTAATCTAGAATGTTTCATGCTATTGATCCATAACTTCCTCATAAATTTCTGATAAATTGCTATTCAGTTGTATTTTTATTAAAAATCCGAGCATTAAATATTCATATGTACGCATATGCAATATTGGTGCAAATATTGACAGTAATTTACCGACACAGGGGCAAAAGAAGCACTGAGATCTACGATCGTGATAACATTGAGATATCAACTTTCTGTCAAAATCTGCCCTTTTTTCTAGCAGCGTTTTCTAATGTACCCTTGAACGCTAGAGTATCAGTGTGTGTTAACTACGTCGAGTCGGTAATCAATAAAATAAAACTGCAACATATTTATTCGTGAATATTGTTGATCAACGTGCTTTAATAACTTATATCTAGTGTTCTTGTTTCCCTTTATAGTACTTGAAAAGGTCACGGATTTTCTATGCTATTCAATTATAGTTAACTATAAAAGCATGAATAATAGGTATGCATAGAAAAAAAAGCCATTGCTTGTGAATAATTCTATAGAATTTTGAATGATAGATCAAAACTTGGTTAGTTCAATGTATATTTGTTTTTTCTCTTGTTTTAATATCGTTAATTAAGGCCAATTTCCTTTAACGATGTTGACACCTTTGGTTATAAAAGCAGCACTCTTGGTAGAAATTATGATAGTTCTTTAAAAGCATTTGATAAATAATTATTATAATATCGTCTCTATTTTCAATGGCTCAAGTATCACTCAAAAATAAATACCAGATCTTCTTGGTACTCAAATTTTTATTCAAGTGCTAGTTATTCAAAAGCAAAATCCCACTTTATTACTATAGACGAATAAAAACGTAAATTTAATTTTTACTTGAATAGTTATACTAGTTTCTTTTTAGTTTTTGTTGTGTTATTTTTACAAGAATCACTTCTACACAATATATTTTTTCTCTTGAATAATAGATTCTTTCATGTCAAAGTATTCTTAATTAAACTCATATGGTATAATGAAAATATAACTGATACGTTATCTTTTTTTCTAACAATGTTAAAAGTTAAAGAAAAATAAATAATATCAATGTCATAAATGCGGATATCCTCTGTTATGCTATGGGAAAAGTGGAATGGCATGTATCATATTGATACATTTCATGATATTAACAATAAGCATTGAAAGCATCACATGGCTTATGTTTTAAATCATCTTCTATACGGTCCTATAACATTTTTCTTCGTTCGCTTTCTCTGTTACTATTAACGTTGAGTGAATTATCAATAGGATGCGCTTAGTAGATGCAAAAAGAAATCTCATTCTATCAGTTACATTTTCATCGACAATGCATAGACAAACATCTAACTCATTATAGATCTTTTGTGAGAGAACCTTCTAGGCTGTTCCCTTCCAATTTCAATGATTTTTTGTGTCTATAGATACTAGATAGTATTCTAATAAGTGAATTTGGGTTTGAAACTTTGAGTATATGGAGAACTCAACTAGATTAGCTTTTATAAAAAAAATCGCCAGTTTGAACAAAGCCTCTTCGAGATATGAAGCTTGCAAAAAAAAAGCATGTTGTAATCATTATACATGCAAAAGGATCTTTATCTTGAAAGTCTCATATCTCGAAGAGATTTTATTCCAAACTTCTGAATTTTTTTAGAGAAACTAGCCTATCTCAGTTTCCTATATGCTTAAAGTTTCAGATTGAAATTCGAAGATCCGAGTTTTCCGAAAACCTGGAACCTCTAGGTAGTAGACATAATCAAAATTCGGTATCTTATTCAAAGAGCAATAGGAATTCAAATCCTATAACAATTTTTATTAAAACACTATGTAATATCTATAGACAAAAAAAACATTCTTGCAATCGAAAGATGGGGCGGGAGGAAGCTTAGAAAGTTCCCTTGTTAGACGATTCTTTAGCAATATATCTGTGACTATTATCGAAGAAATGATCTTGATGTTTGAATACATCTAGTAATTGTTTTTTGTTATTGTATTGATAGATAAAATTTTTTTTTAGAAACCGATTAATGTTTGGTATGTAAAACACATCACCAAGCAAAGTCATAAATACATGATGAATATTTGCATTTGGATAGACAAACATAAAAACCCGAGACAGAATTGACAAAAAAAGCAGATGAATTGAACTCATTTGTATTAATAAAATAGATTAGCACATCCCATTTGTTTTGCTGTTAACAAATACAATGGATTTGTCATTTGTATAATCAATATTAATCGTACTGTGTAATTCACAATGTTCATCAGAAATTGAAGGTTCACAAAAAAAAGTACACTTGAAAATATTAGATAAGATATTTCTTTTTTCATGACATATGTTTGTATATAATTATTAATATTCAAAAAGACTTTTGTCTTTGAAATATCTTTCATTATTAGAGGAAAATTTGTTGAATTATTATTCAAAGTACCTCTTCAGTTTATTTGTCATTATAATTATATCACAACGCATAGAAATGAAAGCTCATTCAAATTATAATAAATATTCCTTTTTATTAAAAGCGATTAGTGCATTCTAATCTTAGGGAAGCATGTTTCATCGTAATTTGCTCATTTAGTCCTTTTTAAGAGATAAGGACTAACAAATACATCTGCCATTCTAATACAAGCAAACAGTTAAAGTCACGAAGTTTTACCTAGACGCTTGTATTTGCTTTTTTTATCAGCAAATAAAATTATATTATTTCTAAATAAATATTCATACATTATTGTGACAATACGATCAATCAAATAAATTATACTTTGTCTGAATATTAATTCTTTTTTTCTTTGATGATTTGATGAAGCAAGTGAACAAAAATTTCTGTACTATTTAACATTTTTTATTTCGAGTTTTGCTTTTAGCATAAGTATATAAAATAAAGTTCGGTTTTTTGATAATTTTTTATTTTAATTGATGATTATGTTCCGTCGTTATTATTGCTAAATTCTAATACTTGTTGTCGTCGATGGCATTGACAATGCCAAATATATTTATGTTTTAATTTATATTTTCGTTTTCTTGATAAAGTTCTTTCTCTTTCAGTTTTCATACATTTCATTCCAATCATCTGATTCATAAATAAATTAATGCGTTTATCAAATATAAAATATGGTAAAAATCTTATTGATAAACAAACTAAATGTGCTGTATGTTGCAATAATTGTAAAAAATGCGCATGTTGTTCTGTTAACAGTGCTTCATCACGATAAACACGATACATTGTCAAATATTTACTTGCCATTATTGGTAAATACAGTATAACAGAAATCAAACTAATTGAAAGAATTATTAATGATATATCATTATGTCTTTGTTTATTATTTATTATGGTTGTTACTGTTGGTTGATTCGTTATACTTAACATATCAAGAGATTCCATATGCATTGTTACAATACTTTGTCCATTATTAACACCATTATTATTATTATTAATCGCTAATAATGATGTACATGGAAGTGGTTTATCTATTAACGATGAAGGATCTGTTTGATTATTAGAATGCAATTTTTTACAACGAATTAAACTAATAAAATATATAGATAAAACAACAATCCAACCAATATAAATAAGTATATCAGTTACTTCAGCAAATATATGATTAATTTTTTGTATTGTTGCAACAATTATTGGAGTATTCATATCAATAGTACAGAATCGTATTTGAGGCATATCCGGATCAGGTACAACTAATTCAATAGATGTTGAACCAAGTACGCTACGAATAATAATAAATGCCAAAACAAATACAATTGATAAACGTCCACCTAATTGACCCAATATAGTATCATATTTACGTACATAATTTGTTATTAAATGTAAAAGACAAATAAAAAGTAATAAAATTGATCCAGTAAATGTGAATGGTGTTAAAAAAAATGATAATGGACACATTATTTGATGATTTATTATATTTATATATTGATCAACTGTTAATATAATACTTACATAAATTGTACAGTATAGAAAATCACATATTGCCATTAGAATTAATAAAGAATATGTTGCACATTGACGACGGCCAATTAAAAAAAGCATAATTACTAATAACAAATTGAATAGAAGACCTGTGCATGATAAAATAAAATTAATAAAACGCATATATTTATAAAATAAATCATCATGTTCCATTGTTATAGATGTTATTGTTGCATTCATTCTATCTGCAAAAGAAAATAAAGCTAAGATTTATTGCTTTTATTATAAAAAACTATTTTACAAATACAAAGGATCGCCAAAGGGTAATGATAAATGAAGTTCTTGTTTCAAATACAAAACAAAACAAAAAAGAGTTTCAGAGGAATCCAGCAAACCAGAATGATAAACTAATTTTATACTGGATCGTCTACATGCTCAGAGTGTTATAAGAAAAGAAGAGAAAAGAAAAAAATATATAAAGACAATAGTATTGTTGATAAGCACGTTATTCTTAATTAATACAGGAAAGAGAAAAAAATCCCTTCCAATGATAATCACCAGAACGTGCCACCCATATGAATGATTAAAACCAGATAATATTTTATTTTTGGATTAATCATAATTCGCCTTTCTACAAACAAGAAAATAATATTTTCAGCTTTTTTCTCTTTCTTAATTATGTGTACATGAAAAATATCATCAATAAATGAAATTAAGAAAACGACCCCTCAACTATTTTGACAACTCGCTTGAACTATTCTTTTCTCATAAATAATGCTTCAACGAACTTAATAACTTAAAATGGATTCTTCACTTTCTTTTTCATCATTTCAATGGCAACAGACCAACAAAAGAACCTTCTCACTAGATATAATAAAACTTATTCGCTTGATCAATAACTATGTATTTCAACTTCAATTATTTTATAGACTTCTCATTTCTAGAGGCGTCTTTCATCATATATAACAAGTAGCCGCTAAGTAGATACAAAATGTTACTTGTGAAAAATTTATTTGCTATTGTTCAGAAATAGAAGTGTCAATGATGAGTTTTGACAACGGTTCATCAAGTCAAATTAAATACTTAGCTGTTTAAAATGCTAATACATGCGTATTGATGTAGCGGAATGACAGACAAAGAAAGAAAAATAATTCTTTTTGAAAACTGTTTTTTGTTCTTCCTGTTTTTATTTGTGTTTTTTTTGTAGGTGCTAAAAATGTTACTTTTTTTGTTTTTTTTTTTTTTTTTTTTTTTTTGAAAGGTTAATTTTCTAGTTCACTAAGTATGTCTATATTTTCTCGCCATTCATTAATTTTGAAACGAAAAACAAAAAGAAATCAAGGCTAAAACCTTATTGAAATAAGATAAATATATTTTAAACGTGACATAACTTATTCTTTATTTTTACTGTTGAAAAACATCGACAATTTTTGTCATAACTTAGTTTATGTAATGGTGGCGAAATCAGGTTGTGGTAGGTGAATAGAGCAGTGCTCGCTGATCTTGGAGAAAAATACATGATATACAGTGTAAATAGCAAAACTTATCGCATTTTTCTTTCTTCTAGTGGCAGGGCGAAGACGATCAGTGATAGGACGGAACTCGGCATAGCTCATCATTGGCTACGCCACTATCATACAAAAATAACTGTCCGGCTGTTTCTCCATACTTGTATACACAATTATTTTTCGTTATTTAATCAATCTTTTTTGACGGATCCAAGATATAAACAACTTTATAGCAGTATTAATGGAGAAGAATGTCTGTTTATCTTATGTGACGATTGATTGTTTTTCCAACGAAATAGAACCTACCTATTGAGTGTAAAACCAAATTATGAAGAAAAGAAGTTTATTTACAATACGCAAAAGCTAACATCTCTCATTGCCAGAGAAAAGCACGTTGGTCCCTATCTAAAAAACGTAAAGGGACATATTTTCTTACTTAACTAGATTAACTTCTTTATATAACAAAAATACACCGACCAAAATAGAATGTGTTCTCTCATTACATTTTTTTTATAGCAATGAAACTATTATATTTTTCTTTCTATCCCTAGAACTAGATTTCTGCTAATATAGAATGTCATACCTCATTCTTGAGTGCTCTCTCTTATATGCTTATAAACAAAAAAGAAGTGAACCTAATCGAAACAATGAATTAAATGTTATTTTCTTAGTGGCAATTTATTTTTTCTATGCTAATGTTGAAGAGCGAATGTTAACTTCTAATTGAAAGTTTATATAATAGAAGATCACTGTATATATTGTTCGTCGCTCTCAATAACTGAATTAATAAACAAAATTATTTGTTTATACATTGGAGACAATCCAATATATTTCAGTGTATTTATTTGTTATTCCTATCATGATTTTCTTATTTCTTAACATAGTCGGTAGAACATGAAAGTATAGAACGTGCTGCATCTTATGATATATTCATCCTGAACAAGCAAAAATAAAAAATATAGACGAAAAAAAAGAGATAATTTTTGATTTTCTACAATCTACACTCAAATCTACATGATACGAAAGGGTACTTATATGCTTATCATCAAGACCAACCCATATTATGCATCAACTCAACACGTAATACCATACTTATGACATTTATGACTGATCTCCTTCGTCCATAATGAAAGAACATATGTAACAAATTATGCAAGAAAATCTGTCTTTGATGATCAATGTATATATTGATCTGAGGTTGAACATGTGAAAGAGTGATTTTATGAATGAATTCTTTATTTAGATATAATATATGCATGCGATCATGAAAAGTACCTAGTTATTAATATATAAACGAACGAACATAACAAAGAAAAAAGCCTGACACGAGACAGCCAACAAATAACTAATGTTATCTTATGCAAATTGACAAATATGACAAAGAAATATGACGTCATGTTAAATTAAATATTTTTCAACTTCTTATTAATCAAACAATACTTTTTTAAATTTATTTTGTTGATTATATTCATGTATAGAAGAACTGTGGTTAAATGTATGCTATGAGTTATTAGAACATAAGTTGACATTTTATGTTAACGCAAATTCTACTTCTAAATAGAAATCAGAAGGTAAATTTACTTAGTTCACACTGTACATTGTATAGAATAAAAATATGTCATTTTTTTCTAAATGTATTTTCTAGCTTCTATGCATTATTTTCTATTCAAGATGACTATAGTATTAGGTGTAATAAATTCTACACTGTCTGGTTCTGTATAATGTGCTAAGAAATGTAATGAAATATACTAGAAGAATAAACAAGAAAATTAGGAAAAACATTCAATTGATCTTCACCGTATAATCTATGTTTAAAGTAATAAAAAAAACATCAAATCACAACGGTGGATATGTTTCGATAAGAAACTTCAATGTCAATTCTATTTTTTATGATTTACCTAATTATATGACAGGCACATTATAATCGTGCTGACTTTTTTCTTTTCTCGTTTGATATACTTTCCTTTTTTTAATGCTTTCCATTGCCTTACTTTCTTTTATTAATAATTTTTTCTTCATGTTGTATTAAAGAGAGGCAAGGAGAACTCGTATATGAGAAACGGAAACAATATTCTGATAATAAGAAAAAGATTTAGAATACTGTCGTCTGTTCCTTTTTTTCGACTTCTAGTTGTTATTCATTTACGCAAAAAAGCCTTTCTCGTAGACTTGTGAATCGTATATTATCTATATTTCGTTTATTTATTATTTATCTATTAAAGATTATCATTTTAATTCTTTCTTTTACAGAAGAATAAATCTGAACAATGAAATATTTCTTATCCGCTCAATAAAAAGAAATCTATTTTTCAGAAAAAAATTTTGAACTTCACCAAAGATGACTATCAGTTTCTTCATGAAAAAATATTTAGCTTATACTGATTACGTTGTTTCTTTTCTTTTAATTTCACAACCTCGAGGAAAAATATATTTATTTTTAGTAGCAAACTTCGGTGTTATGCGATACAATTTATTTGATATTTGTCAAGGTAAATGAGGGTATTCTATCATTTCCTGTCTAAATTAATGTTATTTAAATATTTTTTGAATAGATTATGCTTTTATAGGCTACTGGTCTTTCTTATACTAATTAAGCACAAAATAGTATAGTTGATCTTCAAATAGAAATAACAAGTTTCATGATGTTACGATCCTAGACAAACAGCCAATGAGCGTAAAATTGCAGAGGATATTGGCTACGATCTATATCAGTAACCAAAGAAAACATAAAAATGGAAATTTTGTATGAATGGAATGTATAAATTATTTAAATAGTAGTAAGCATTTGGTTTAATTAAAAATTAGTTTTTATTGATATCAAATTGAGAAAATTGTTTTTTCTCAATCCATAATAATCAAGAGTGGCAGAAGAAAAATAAGATCAGGATATTGCATGGTTCAAGCTGACATTAATAAGCAATATTTCTTGCATGCATACAATACGTCTATGAGTGAAAGAAGAAAACAAATGCATTGTTATGAAGCACGCAACTTTTCTGCTTTGTCATATGTTCAATCATAACTTTTGTCTATATCATAAAATATAGAACACTAGATGGGTTTTTACTAATTTTTAAAGAAAAGAAAACATTAAATAGTATTCTTCTCATTTTGTTCATACGTTTATGTGCTACGTAAATTGTTATAAACGGTTACATTCATTTAATTTGCTGAAAGGCATCCTACATCAAGGAAAAAGAAAAGGTTACATTATTTATTCATAAGTTTAATAATAATAATCAAATGAATAAATCAAATATAGGTGCTACTTAGTTATTTGAAGAATTGAAAAGACACATATGAATGCATGTAGACGTTGAACGGGATCTTATTAAAAAATTAAAAACAGAAAAATAAATTCGAATATTTTTTTTTCCAATACTATTTGAAAATGATTGCTTGACAGCTTTTATATAATTAAAGTATCGGCAAATACATCAACTGTGGAAGAGAAATATTATATATTGCGCAATCTATCACAGTGAAATGTGTGTGTCTTATTTTAAAAGTCAGAGGTACAAACAATTTATAATAATGCAAATCATTCGAAAATATTATTTATTGATGACATAAAATTTTCACCAGTCGTTAAAGTGTAAATAGGAATTTTAAATCTATAGAGAAATTAAAGATGAGACACCTCCCAACTCAATATTCATTATATCAAGAAGTTGTAATCAACAGACCTAAAGTTGAAGAGCATACTTGTCAACAATAGTGTGCATTCAACTC